TAATTATATGAAAAAAAAAACTTAACATTAATTGGTCTAATCTAATTAGGCCCAATTACATAATAATCCAGTTTGCTTAGGTGTGTGACCCTGTAGGATCGTATGATATTAGCAATAGGCTTTYAGGCCCATAAGCTATAAGTGGTTTMTARCAAAACATTATAACCACCTAATATGATAYGATTGTCTAACCTCGACATTTCAACTTTAATAAGAGTAAAGTACAAATGATTTCAGGACATTCCCAACAATCTCCCACTTGTACTGGAATCATCTATTCCTGTAATCTCTTCGTCTCTGTATCTCGATCTAGCATAAGGCAAGAAATTACGTCATCCTTATTAAGCTAGATCATGTTTATCGAACTCYGATTTATACTGAKTAAACAAACGAYTGACTWTCACCTCGTTTGAGCACGGCCATGCATTTTCAGTATCAAATCTTCGATAGGCCCAAAAATACTTATCTCCTGTTATATAGGAGGGACAAATCCCATCTTGTTCCATCCCTGTTCCTTACACATTTCATAGAATGCCCAAACACTATCTTTATAATCACCTTTTACGGTTGACGTTTGACAATGTCAAAACAAACTAATCCCTATGTAAGAAATCATGATGAACTCAGGTCAAAGGACTATACTTTATAGTTGTGATGAGAAACTCTTATGACACTCATATAACATTCTCGTAGAGTTCTCATAGCGGGTCAGTCCAATACTGTGTTCTCCAACACATATCTATGTGATTGACTTAAATACAACATATCAATGACTTCACGAAACTTAGTCATCAGTCACCTCACATACCAGTCATATATAGTTATTAATGTCCCATGATAATAACTTTGACTGGGGACCTCTATAATTCATCTCATCTTTCACTTACAKGGTTTCATGATCAAGTCACGTACTTGATGACCTATAAGAATGATATAAATTATTTTGGGACTATTATTTAATTATCCAATAGCATAATAATACTGAAACAAATTTTATTAATTTGAAAATAAAATCAAATGTATGTATACATGAACATCATATCATAAAATAAAATTCTCCCACTAGAGTCAAGATCACATCTTAAGA